TACTCTAAATAATTTTACTCTAATACCAGTAACCATCAAAACCTGGAATACAGAGGAGTGAGGGTCATTACACATATTTATTCAGAATAAAACAGTTTTTTGTGTGTTTCAGTTCTAGGGGATGTCAACATAACTGCACAGCTACACAGTAACAGTCAGCGCATAAGGAAAAACAGTCATTTAACTTATTTTTTAAGGAAATAACTCAAATAACTGCACCGGCATACAGAAGCCCATTTTAGTAACAATCACTACTGTGTTGTGATGTCAGAGTAATGTCACTAAAGCTGTTTTAAAAAAGCTTCTTGAAAAGCATCCCAGTGTTTTAAAATGTCACAGGGACAGCAAGTTTCAAATTTCAAGTTTTATTGTCATGTACAGATAAACAGTGTAGCCACATTTATCCATAATGAAATTCTTTGGCTTGTGCTCCTCAGCTTTACATGAGCATATAGAGATTTTGCAGTTATATTGAGGAGAAAATAACAGAAAATAGCAGTGGTAGTAATAAAGTAATAATAATATTAATAACAACAATAAAAAGGAGAGGAAAAAAGTATTAAATATTAGAGAATTTAGTTGGTATTTACAAGTTTGTGCAAGAGTATGTGCAGCACTAACAGCAATCATATTTCCCTTGTATTGGCTTGTCATTGGTGTAATTCCCAATGTGATCTTGTACCATTACTGTGCCACATTATTTTCTCTTTCCCTTCACCCCCAACCAATCACCATGTGTCTGCCGGAGGCTTCTTATTGCTAAAAGGGACTTTTCCCTTCCCGTTGTTGCCCTTGCTCAAAGGGGATCAGTTGATTGTTGGGGTGTTTGGTCTTTACCTGACAACATAAGACAGCTGTTTTTATCAATTTGCACTATTTATATTGAATTGAATTTTATGGATTTTCTTTAGTTGAATTGAATTGAACTGAATTGATCTTATATTAGTTTTTAACTTAATAATTTTATCCTGTTCAATAAATAAACAATAACTCAAAAGAATATTCTTGCCGTGTATGGTTTATTCTTTATTTCTGTAAGTCCTATGCTCGTGTAGATTTGGACTTTTTAAAAACTTTATGCTTCACTGTGAATGGCAAAATTTGTATATTTTGTTAAACACTGTTGACTTTATTGATCTATGCTGGGAAATAAGTCTATTGCCTCCACATGAGGACATACTTTTTTTTTTAAAAAACAAACAAAATGCAAGCAACAGCTGTGTAACAAAGTAATGACTTCCTGTACAAAGATGTAGTTTTCATACTTCATGCCAGTACTTCAGTGGGTCTAAATCATCACAAATAGTCAGGAGAAATGAAAAATGCATCCCAAAGATGAAGGGGAGACAATTGGCAACATTACTTTTTAAAATTGTCACAATATGTGACAAATACGGATACTGTTCAGCGGATGTAATAAATGATGTGAATATTACACAAAATGTAGGCTGAGTTTTTCAAATGATTACACAGCGCCCCCAGGTGGCGGAATGTTATAATATTACACAATTCCTGTGACTGTAGGAAAATTAATATGACAGGGTTTGTTTATCTGTTTATCCTCACTGCTCGTCACAATATCACTTTCTCTCAACATCTCCATCCTCCAATTACTCCAGCAAACACCTACAAAGCCCTGACCTAGAGATCCTGTTTAGTTCCAACAACTTAAATACTGTTAGTTTAATTACTTTTAAACAATCTGTAACTGCTGAGTTTGTGTTTATTGCCACACCAGGGAAAGATTTTCTTGCTGCTGCATGTGGGATAGTCTGAGAAGGAGGGTTTCCACGTTTTTTTAAAAAGAGGGTACCAGAGGAGGACAAGAACAAGAGGGCCCGCAGAAAATCTGCTCATCTTCTGCCCTGTGTTTTACAGATTTATTACACAAAAGGTGGGAGTGCACAAGCCTTTAAACATGAAACAACTATTTTGCAAAGTGGAAAACATATTTAAAAAAAACCCAAAAAACTTTTTAGTCAAGCACAAATTGTATTCCAGTGT